TACATACTCAGGAGTGGGAGATCTTGTCCAAACCAAAAGTTTATATTTTTACTAATTGTACTAGACGTTTTTGATCATCTAGGATGATCAGCTCATTGAACTAATCATACTGGATGATTTCGATCATCTAGGACGATCATTTATGATCTTAGAAAATATCTGCCAATGATAATTTATGCAAGAATTTAAGATTCAAAGTTTGATATAATCATCATGAACGATCTAGATCGTCATAACAATCAATATCAATTATGTTTAAATTGATCATGTAATTATGAGGCTAATTATGGTTAAATTATTCAATCAGATCATCGTGGACGATCTATATAATCATCCTGGATGATATTTTTCGACATACTTAATTTTCCTGAAGTTGTCAAAGACAAAAACCATATTTCCTTTGATTGTACAGGAGATCTCTTAGATGTCCCTAACTATCTACTGAACAATCTTGAATAAATCATCCTGGACAATCATAAGATCGTCACAAATGATCTATACAAATTGGTGAACTTATCGTACATGACTATATTGGGCGATCTGACTTGAAGGGCAATTTTGTACTGATCGTATAGGAGGATCTAAGGATCGTCCATTATAATCTTTACCTATATAATTAATTATTATTAGGGTTCTTCAAAGCCCTCCATGTAAGCGTTGTCAAGGCACTTGGTAAGTGTCTTTGACAACCATTGTGTCTTCATTTTTTGGAAAATACGTAGAGAGAACTTGAAAGGGAGAGAATAAAGGGTAGAGTTTCAGGGGGAGAAGATCCATGGAGGGAGTTTAAAGGGAGTATGGAGGGGTTTCACACGGTTGCTCCAGCGAGCTTGTAACTTAGTACCATCGGATTCAAGATTCATCTTGAGGAAAGTTTTGGAAAGAAGAAGATCTCTTTGGTGTTAAAAGACCCAACTACTCTGTTACACTGGGGAAAGGTGGAAGTAATTATGTAAGGACTTCTCCATCTAGCTGTGGGGCTAAAGGAGAGTCATTAAAGGTTTAGTGCAATACTCGGAGGGTTCCTCTGATGAGTGGACATAAGTTAGGTTGGATCGAACCACTATAAATCTGGTGTGTTCTTTCTGATTATTTTTTGCACTTTATTTTTACTATGATTAATGGCTTGGATAAAATTTATGATTAATCTTTTTATTATTGATTTAACACTGTCGTTGCTAGGTCCCAAGTCCTAGATAAGAAAAGTGGAGGGTTGCGTTAGTTAGTCGACATCCAGCGTAAAACTTATCAAACAATAATGACATGAATCATTTAAGAAATTCTATTAATGCTAGGGGGTCCCCTGAAAGCGACGCGCTGTATGGCCTGAATACAGTGATAAGTGTGCAAGGGTCGCTGCATCGGTGCAGTGTTAAATAGGAAATGGTTCCCATATCAAGGATGGATGTGGGCAAATAAGCTAGTCCATGAAACTAAAATTATGATTTGAACTTGGAATATAGGTTCCCTTACAGGCAAATTAATGGAATTAATAGTTATTATGATTCATAGAAAGTTAACCATTTTGTGCATTCAGGAAACTAAGTGGGTTAGAGAGAAGGCTAAGGAAATTGATAGTTTAGGATTTAAACTTTGGTATTCGGGTAGGAGTCGTACTAGAAATGGTGTAGGTGTTATTATAGATAAGCGTTTAAAGGATAATGCTATTAAAACTAATAGGATTAGAGATAGAATTATAGCTTTAAAGATTGTTAATATTATAAGTGCTTATGCTCCTTAAGTAGATTTGCATATGAGTTCTAAATTAAATTTTTAGAATGACTTAGAAAAATTAATACAAAATATACCTCTTGAAGAAAGAGTTTTTATTGGAGGAGATTTAAATGGACATGTTGGTAGAGTGGTAGATGATTTTAAAAGCATTCATGGTGGCCATGGATTTGAAACGACGAATAAAGGTGGCAAGACCATATTAGATTTTTGTTTAGCTTATAATTTTTCAATTGCTAATACCTTACTTAAGAAAATGAATGAGCATCTCATCACTTATAAAAATGGATATAGTACAACCTAGATTGACTATTTTCTTATTAGAAGATTAAATCGTTTAGATTGCAAAGATTGTAAAGTTATTCCGAGTGAAAATTTATGTACCCAACATCGATTATTAGTTTTGGACTTTAAGATAAAGGGGCATAAAATAAAAAATAAAGTAAAAAGTTTTTCTAGGATTAGATGGGGGCATTTAAAGAATATTAACAAAAATATTTTTGGAAATAAGATTTTAGATCTTAAGATTTTGTCTGTGCATGAGGATGCTAATATTATGTGGGAAAAAGTGGCTAGTGATATTAAGAATATTGCAAAAGATGTCCTTGGAGTATCAAAGGGAAAAACTCCCAATAGTAAAAATAGTTGGTGGTGAAATCCTAATGTGCAAGAAAAAATTAAAAATAAGAAGATTTGTTATAAAAATTGGTTTAATTTTAAAAATTCTGATAATTGGGAAATATATAAAGTGGCACGTAAGGATGCTAAGAAAGCAATATGCGATGCAAAGGCATTAGCTTTTAGTGATTTATATAATAGATTAGATACTAAAGAGGGAGAAAGATATATGTATAAGTTAGCCAAACAAAGAGATAGGAGTAGTAAGGATTTAGTTCAAGTGAAGTGTATTAAGGATGAAGATCAAAAAATACTTTTCTTAGAAGATGATATTCAACAAAGATGGATGAGATATTTTGCTAAACTTTTTAATGAAGATTGTGAAAATAAGATTGACTGTAGTGACCTTAGCACCCTAAATGAAAATAAAGATTTCTATTTTTATCGGCGTATTAGTAAAACTGAAGTTAGAGAGGCTTTAAAGAAAATGAAGGGTGGAAAAGCTGTTGGACCTGATGATATTCCAATAGAGGTGTGGAAATGCTTAGGAGATGAAGGAATTTCATGGCTTACTAAACTTTTTAATACTATTTTGAAGACTAAAAAGATGCCAGATGAGTGGAGAATGAGTGTATTAATTCCTATTTTTAAGAATAAAGGCGATGCACAGGATTGCACGAATTATAGAGGTATTAAGTTAATGTGTCATACTTTAAAACTATGGGAGCGAGTTATGGAGCATAGGTTGCGGCGTGATACTAATGTTTCTCAAAATCAATTTGGATTCATGCCGGGTAGGTCGACTATGGAAGCCATACATTTATTAAGAGGTTTGATGGAGAAATATAGAGAAAATAAGGAGGATCTACATATGATATTTATTGATTTAGAAAAAGCATATGATAAAGTTCCAAGAGAAGTGCTATGGAGAGTTCTTAAAAAGAAAGGAGTCAATAATGCTTATATTCAAATCATTAAAGATATGTATGCAGGAGCTATTACTTGTGTTCAAACACAAGGTGGATTGACCAAGTATTTCCCTATTTCGGTTGGGTTACATCAAGGATCAGCCTTAAGCCCATATCTTTTTGCTTTAGTCATGGATGTTCTCACTAGACATTTGCAAGAGGATGTACCTTGGTGTATGCTTTTTGCTTATGATATTCTTCTTGTTGATAAGACTAGAGAGGGAGTTGAAGCTAAACTTGAATTATGGAGGTCAACCTTAGAGTGTAAAGGTTTTCGCTTGAGTAGATCTAAAATGGATTATATGGAGTGTAATTTTAGTAGTAATAGACCTAGTGAGGGGATTGTGACTCTGGGCGATCAAGTCATTAATAAGAGTACATGTTTTAGATATCTTGGATCTATTATTCAGAGTGATGGTGAAATAGATGGGGATATTATCAGCAGAATTCAAGTTGGATGGTTGAAGTGGAGGAATGCATAAAAGGCGGTTAAGTGTGGCATGCAATGCTTTATGGTGCCGAATGTTGGCCATTAAAAGAGAAGCATAATATTATGTTAAGTGTGGCAGAGATGAGGATGCTCAGGTGGATGAGTGGCTTTACCCTTAGAGATAGGATACGAAATGAGCATATAAGTAAAAAGGTTGGAGTAGCTCTAGTAGAAGATAAGATTAGAGAGAGTCGCCTGAGATGGTTTGATCACATAAAAAGGCCGCCTTTCGATGACCCGGTTAGGAGAGTAGAGGTATTAGATTTGACTTGTGTTAAGAAAGGTAGGGGTAGACCTAAAAAGACTTGGTTAGAAAATATTAGGAATGACATTTCTTTATTAGATTTAAACGAGAATTTGACTTTTAATATGACACAATGGAGAAAAAGGATTCATGTAGCCGACCCCACGTAGTGGGATAAAGGCTTGATGTTGTTGTAATCTTTTTATTATTGATTTAATTCATTTCCTCTATAAGATATAAAAAGATTTTTCTTTTAGTTAAAAAAGTTTTTAAATATCCAATTCACCCCCTTCTGATTAGCCTCGAGACTGGTTCATAAGGGTTTAACAACCCTAACGAGCTTTCAAGTTGTATCAGAACACTTTCAAGAGTGACATCTAATCTAATGGATAAAGACTTCTAAAATTTTTGCCAAATTCTTGTGTTCTACCTTGGCTTATGATATAATATTATCCCCATCTTGTCATGTGAAAAAAAAAACCTATTTTTTTATACAAAATGATACTCCAACATTTTTTTTATTTAAAAATAGAATTATGATGTTTAATATTGTAATAGGATGCGATTCTTTATTGACAATATATTTTACATTTATGAATAAAAAAAACATTATAATTATGTAAATATTTTTTTTTCAAATTTTCATTGAAAGACCTATTTTTAAAAATATTTGATTTTTTCGATTTGGATAATTTGAATCTCATACGCATTATTATTTGATTTAACTTTTAAGATGATTATTAGAGGTTGCATTTGAGATAATTTCATTTTCATATTTTTATTTATTTAATTTTGTTTGTTATTTAAAAAATGATAAAAAACTTCTTAAAACCAAATTTATTAGAATTTGGTATCTATAAAAATAATTAATATCTTTTTTTTTTTAACAAAATGATAATATTAAATTGCTCGAGTAGCATTTAAAAACATTGGCTAGTTCGTAACATTTTTCACATTTAATTTGTACCGGTGAATCCGTACCAGAGCGGGATCAGCAGCGGGGCCCTAGGTTTCCCGACAGCGATATCGGCATTTTGAATCCGCTCTCGGGCATTCCGCCACCGGCTGCAGATCATTGAAGCCCGAAGACTTGCGGCGATAGCAACGAGGACGGTGAGCAAGAGCTGAGGAAGACGCCGCGTTCGCTCAGGTGAGCTCATTAACGATCATAGGCCAACTAAAGAGTCTCTCGATTTCGTTACTTCCCCATTCCGGCATTCCTATATTTATGGGAGGGTTTTGACGTCTGGACGATGTAGTTTTGTCCTAGGGAAAGAGGCGATCGTCTTCTTCATTTTCTTATACTTGAATTGATCAGGTTATTTCCTGAGGATTTTGGCGTGGCTGAAGTTGAATGATGACTTTAAGTCCAGTTTTGGTTTCTCGAGCTATGCTATTATTTTTTCAGTACCGCCTTTCCCGATTGCTAGGGCCTCCCAAATCCGCTTTTTATTTTAATAAGATCATTGGTTTCGTTCTCCAAAAATGCTGGCTTTTCTTGTTTTATCTTACGGCTTTATTTGTAGGCAAACATTTAGGGGCTGTTTGGTAGAATGTAGGATTTCATTTAAGTAGGATTTCGTAAATCCTCCAAATCCTGGATTTACGAAATCCTAAGGGGTTAAAACCTGAAAACTGTTTGGTAACATTTATGATAAATTCAGTTAAATCCTGTGTGACTGTTTGGCTATAAAACATGATTTATACAAGGGATTCTTACTCTAGCGCATGGATTTCGTAAATCCTGCAAAATATAGGATTTCCGAAATTCCAGATTTCGCTCGAATCGGCGGAATTTTCCGTCTATCCCGGATTTCACTTGCCGTGAGATTTGGTTTTGCATTTTAGGCCGTTTGGCTGGATTTCGCTCAAATTCGGCCAAAATCCTGCTACCAAACAGCCCCTTAACTCTGACATTGTACTCTGCAATTTGGTGATTTGAAGATATTCTTTTAGCTACGATTTTGTCAGCTGCTATGATGTCCGAAAATGCATCTAGGGGCTGTTTGGTATCGGATTTACAGCGGGATTTAAGTCGGATTTACGCTAAATCCAGCCAAACAGTTTTTGTGCGCGCGTTAAATCCCGGGATTCAGTAAATCCCGGATTTACGGATTTACAGCTTAAATCTGGGATTTAGTAAATCTGAGGGGTAGCCGGATTTAGTAAATCCGAGCGGGATTTATCCGAATGAAGTGCGCGAAAGGAGAAAGTTACCTTCACAGCCAGCGAGCTCCCGTTCTTGCTTCCTATCAAAATGTTGTAACTTCCGATCCGGGTTGAAGTCGTCGCCGAACAGCCACGAAGGAGCCGAAGAAGCGGCGCCTGCAATCTCTACACCTCCTGCAAAAGCAACGGAGCCCAACAGCAACGACGGAAAGAGAAGATGAAAGGCAAACCCTAGACGCCTCTAAGTTAATATTGATTAACTTAATTAATATAATTTACATTATTAATACTTAAGTAAATTAATTAAATAGTTAATTGTATAATTAGTGCATAAATTAAATAAATTAATTAAAATTATTAATAAATTAAATAAATTAATTAAATAATTAATTATATAATTTAATTTAATTGCATAATTAATAATTAAATATTAATACAATTATCTTAATTAATATAACTTAAATATATATTATTAAATATATAATCAATAGTGTAAATAATAATTAATGAATAATTTGTATTTAACATGTTCTTACTTTTTTATTAATTATGACTAGAAAGTCGTCGCAGGAGCAAAGATCGAACAAACCACGAATGAGTCGTAGAAGCGACGCGTGCAATCTATACATCTGCAAAGCAACGAAGCCGAAGAGCAACGAAGAAAAGAGAAGATGAAAGGAAAACCATAGAAGCCTCTAAAAGTTATTATTGATTAACTTAATTAGTATAATTTAAATTATTAATAATTAAGTAAATTAATTTAATAATAATTGTATAATTAGTGCATAATTAATTATCTAATTTAACTTAATTGTATAATTTAGTAATTAAATATTAATATAATTAAATTAATTATATAACTTAAAATATCTATTATTAAATATATAATTAATTGTGTAAATAATAATTAATAAGTAATTTGTGCTTAACATATTATTAAATTTATAACACATTATATTTTTTATTTTTAATTATAAATTTATTTTTAAGTTATAATTATATTTTTCACATTTAAATTCCTAACTGCTATAAATCCTGAAATATGTTACCAAACGGTTTCTCAGGATTTAACAGGATTTAACATTTGGCATACCAAACAGTTTTCAGGATTTAACACATTTCGGATTTACTAAATCCGGATTTAAAGGATTTACTAAATCCCACTAAAATTAAATCCCACTTGTTGCCAAACAGCCCCCTAAAGATTCAATTTATGGCTATTATAACGTGAATTTGGTTTTTTTTCTAGTGAAACGAGTTTCTGTATAATGTTGATTAGCTAGATTTTGTTCATAACCCGCTTCTTTCTTCACTTTAGATTCTGTGAACTATAAAGATTTTTTTTTTAAATTTCTTTTCGAAGCTGATAAACGGCTTGCTGCAACTTTTAAATTCCTTTGTGTTGGGTCTCTTACACGTTCTATGACTTGTAGTACGTTTGATATATAAATGTTTCATTTACCTTGTTTAAGCTGTATGTCCTGGCATTGCTATGTTTTCTGTTGTATGCATATTTTATGTTGGGTTTTTTGTATGCCACAACTAGAGCAATCTGTTGCCGAAAATGCCTTTGTTTCGACCTTTCTCTGGACTGTGTTGTGTTTTTTATCAGAAGTTTCAGCTGGAATCAGAACGCCTTGCTAACTCTTTTTGGGATTAATGCAGATATCAAGTTTTATTACTTCAACTTGTCGACCAAGGGATGGCTGCATCAATTACTGCTGGTCTGCAAATGTTGGTCACAAGGAGGTCAACCTCCTCTTCTCGGATGATGCTACCATCAACTGTAATATCAGATACAAAAGTAACCATCCAAACTAAATTGTCAAGCTCATTCAGTATTTCCTTCGCCAAGCCTTTTCGCCAGAGCTTTTCATCTGCTCCACGTAGAGACAATAATGTTGTCACAAGAGCCATGTCAGAAGAAAATGATAAAAACAGTGTTTCAGGACTTCCTATTGATTTAAGAGGTAAAGAGTCCTCTATTTTGCTACTGCACCTTATTTCACTGCACTGAGTATTTCCTTTATCTTTGTAAATTGAATGTATATATTGGTCGTGTTGCATGGAGAGGCTTCTATGAATCAATATGATTTATGACTTATCTGCGGTGGTTTTAGGGCTGTCAATTCAGGTTGTTGGGTCGGGTTCGGGTCGAACCTGAACTGACCCGAAACTAAACGGTCGACCTGAACCCGACCCGTTTAGTTATACGGGTCCACTTGCTGAACCCGGACTCGACCCGGGTTAAACACAGGTCGGGTCAACTCGACCCGCCAACCCAATTTTTTTTAAAATAAAAAAGAGATATTAAGTATTAACTAAATTAAAAAATTCAAAATGCAATGTAATAATAAATGATAACAATTAAATTTTAATTAATTCAGCACATTTAAAAAATATATAAAACATTACAAGAGTCGCTCAAACAGTTACATTTCTAATTTCTAATTTTCTATGATACATTACAAATTACAATTTATGAATACAGTTGCTCAAGCAGTTAGCTTCTTTGTCATTCACTCATTCATTTAATCTGGATTCTGAACAATGAGCATCTCAGCAGTCAGCATAATCAATCAACCTGCAACAAAAATTAGTTAAAAGCCACAAGCTGAAGGAGACAAGGAGTCAACTCAGTCAAGGTCTTGAATGCATTAGGGCTCACCAACTCAGGCCTTAGGGCCTTAGGCTCAGAATGAACATAGTGAAAATTGAAGAAGCATCATCTGCAAGTCTGCAACAATTTTAAAATTTTGCCCTCAAAGATTACAAATTAGGAATACGAATTTTATAATTTAAGTATCTATTCAGCGAAATAGTATCTGCTCAAATCAAATAAATCTCATTTCCTCAATTTGTAACTTGGTTGCAAAATATTTTTATTTGTGTATTGCCACTGTTCTATAAATTCACATGGTTCTTCATCATTGCCATATTATAATAAAAAACTGCCATCAACATTGAACATAATTTCAGAAGACAAGACCAAGTGAGCAACCAGAAAATGCAAGCTGCACTGCTGCAGTCTTGCAGCCAAATATTTAAGTGGCAGACAAGTGATAAAATTGCAGAACGGCCCCAACATAACCATTAGGCATCAAGGCAACGAGGCATCAACAGAGCTTGAAGTCGGAAGACCTTTTCATATGAATATATAATAAAAGATTAAACTTGAATTATAATGCCCAGAAATAAAGTCACATAATCATAGTGATAAATTGATCATGTCCAGAAGAAAACCGTCCAGCACAATGTCCAGAAAAAGCATCAAGGCAATCAGAAAAATACATATTAACAAGACAGGAAACAAAAGCCCACAACCAGGTCCAGAAGCAGCTGCTGCACGGTGCACAGAGCCATAGCTGCTAGCATGGCAGCAACAACAGCAAGAGCAGCCATCCATTAGAAGTTCAGAGCAAGATAGGAAAAGAAAGCCCACAACTAGAAGCAACTGCTCATTACAGTTATTACATATGCAAAATTTGAACTAACATTAGTTTTTAGGCTGCTTAATTTACTGACACATTCACATCTCCCATTTGATTTCCCTCCAAATCTAAGCCAATAATATTTTATGTCATGGCATCAAGCTCTGTGTCTTTTATATCTATTAACAAAACAACAGTTTAGTTGAAATATAAATTTTAATAAAAATTGAACCATCTGTGTAGTGTGTAGTATGACAAATTAATTACCTTGGTCACTTTACAATCAGTCCTTTGTGCAAACCAATGCTTCTATAATATCATGTTTCAACGCACTTCTATATTGGTCTAGAAGTCTAATACTATTGCTAAAAGCACTTTCCGATGCAACAGTAGAGATTGGAATGCACAAAACATCATGAGCCATTCTTGAGACTTGAGGAAATCTGAATTGATTTACTTTCCAATATTGCAAAATGTCTGACTCACTATTCCTATCCAGCTTGGGTACATTTAAATAATCTTAAGCTTTGATTTTCTTGGCATAGGTACCTCCACCTTGAAGGAATCATAATCCTGTATTATTTGTTTTAGTTATGTTTGATAAGTTGACATAACATAATATGTTAATAGAACATGAGATGCAAAATTATACCTGCAGAAATTGTGATTTAATGATAGTAGTTGAATGACTACTTGATGGAGTTTGTCGTGAACATTGAGATGATTGAGATACAGTGGTTGTTGATGGTTGGTCTTCTACGATCGAATAGAATGAATAAAGTGCGGACAACTTATCCTTAACTTTTACAATTTCAAAATCATAATGACCAGAGTAAAATCTCTTGTAACACCACTCAACAAAGTTGAACTTGTACCTTAGATCTAGAATCATTGCAACTGCTAAAATAACACTGAAGTTCGACCAATACTTTTCAAACTTAGCAAGCATTCCAACAGTCATTCTCCTAATATACTCCTCCCCACAAGACAATTCATATTTTAATGTGGCATATGTAGTTGATACACATGGGAAACACAAATTTGCAGTTGGATACTTTGTTCCAGAGAAAGCACAAGTTATTTCATAAAAAGGGGCTAAAAACTTGCATATTATTACCATTTTCTCCCACTCACTATTTGAAGGGCAAGACTTGTAGTTGGAATCACTCAACTCCAAATGCATAAAAACACGCTTGAAGTATATTGCACTATTTAGCATAATGAAAGTATAGTTCCTTCTAGTTGGTACGTCTTGCCTCAAACCTCTATTAGTTTCAAGCAAACTTTGTCATACACATTGCATAAACTTTTGCTTTCTTGATTGAGAACCTTTTACATATTTAATGCTCTCCTGAATCTTCACAACAGAGGAATCTTTCTCCTTAAAACCTTCATGTACAATAAGATTTACTATATGTGCGCAACATCACATATGGAAGAATTCACCATTGCATATAAGTGCATTTTGCAAATTCAAATGATTTCGTAAAAAATCAACTGATACAGTATTAGATGAAGTATTATCTAGAGTAATGCTGAAAAGCTTACTATCAAGTTTCCAATCAATCAAAAGCTGTTGAAGTTTCTTAAATAATGCTAAGCCATCATGGGGAGTAGCATAAAATCAAAACTTTTAATCTTCTTTTGTAATTGCCAATTATTGTCAATGAAATGTGCAGTTAAGCAAATAAAACCATCAGTATTAATGGAAGTCCACAAATCAGAAGTTAAAGATACTCTACTTTTACAACTATATAGAAGGGCTTGCATTTGTGCTTTCTCCTTAATGAACATTTTCTTACAGTCATTTCGTGCAGCATTTCTAGATACAATCTATAAATCAGGACGCAAGTATCGAAGTAATGATCTAACACCAGACCATTCCACACATTGAAAAGGTAGGTCATGCTTAACTATGCATGCAGTAAACAAGCTATGAAATTCATAATAATCAAACTTATTTTCAACCATAGAAATAGAAGTGCTTGTGTTACTTTGAAAAATAAGTTGATCAATATCATGGGAGTCCCGTTTCTTACAGTTATGAATTTGACATCTCAGATTACCTGTACCATTTTTACTATCAGATAGGTAAGTTGCTCCACATTTCTTACTTTTGCAACGTTGTTTGCCATCATTACCAAGTGGCAACATTTCATAATGTCCCCAAACAGTAGAGGTCAGCCTCTTTTTTTTTCCTTCATTTCAAACTGCATTATCACCAACCTCACCCACATCCACATTATTATACTCATCACTATCACATTCTACGTCATTATCAATAGGCTTTTGGTCATTTTGCTCAGAAGGATTACTGTCAACAACTGTATTAGAACCCTCCATCTAAACACAAAAAAATGCACACACTTACCAAATATTTAAATATTTATTCACCAAACACATAATCTACTACACAAGTAATAATATTAGTTTAGTAAAAAACTAATAATGTAATATGGTGCATCAAAAAACATTGTAGTTTAGAATTGAAATAGTACTAGCAGTTTAGCACAATAGCATTAAAGCAACTTCATAATTTGACAACAAACAATGGGGAAATAGAACCACAGTCTCAAATGTTCAAAGCCTAACTGAATTACTATCACATGCCGATCATAGATTCATGATTCGTATTTCATACTCGCTAATCTCCAAATTACAGAACAATAAAACAATTCCAGATCCACTGTTTTCACTTTTCAAAAGCTAGACAGTAAGACAACTAGTCAACAACGGGTTAATAGATTTAACACCAACAGTCCAAGTCCAACATAATAACTTAATAAATAACAAATTTATAACCACCATGAGTATTTCAATATTTTTGTAATGGCAAAAGAAAAAAGAAAAACTAATCTCCTGAGTCCCTTCCTGCAGACGGCAGGCCGAGTGGCCGACATATTAGATTTCAAAAAATAAAAGACTCAAAAGTTAAAACTCAAGAATATGGTAAACAGCAAGACTGCAAGTCTGCAACAGTGTAGTCGATGGTAGACACAAAAACAACAAACCCTAATCCAAGGTTTAAAATTGCGTAAATAAGCCTCGAGGCATTTTTCGTCCGTGAGGCGAGTCGTAAGCCTCGAGGCTGTGTGTGGCGTAAGCCTCACGGATGCAAAATTGCGTAAATGAGAATTTAAGAGTTTTAACATGTAAATAATAGCAAGATTCTATCATACAATAAAAATATCTAAATGACAAATGGAATTATTGGAAATTAAGAAAGTATATGCAATAAAATCATGTTCTAAAGTACAAAACCACAAAATTATAGGCTATCCAAACTCCCAAAGTACAAATAAGAAGGAACATATATAATCCAATCACGTCCCATCACTAAATGGTTCTTTCAGGGAATCTTCTTCTCCAATTGTATCTATGAATGTCATATCTTCATCATCTTCAATATGCCTCACATTTCTCTTCCCTGTTGAATAAGAATGATCATTATCATGTTACTTGCTCACTTGATATAAATATAATGTAATAACATATAAGAAGTTGTAGAATACCTTTATTTAGATATTGTGCTGCAGAGC